GGACTTATATATATATATATATATATATATATATATATACAGGCGTTGAACGGATGACAAAAATTCGTTGAAAAATGCAACCTACCCCCCCTAAACTTAACCTCTTTTTCAAACGTAACTCATAATTGATACAACAATAGATAAAAATGAACACGTTACGCCCCTGGCTAAATGATTGGATTTCTCTGTATCCTTGGAAACAAGAAATTATGAATTATATGTGTGTTTAAAACTCAGTAAATTTAAAAATAAGTTATTCCAAAATTCGCTTAAGGATGAAATAGAACTAATGCTTTTGATTTAATTACATAATTAAATTTGAAGATTTTAGCTTCGGTTTTCGAAACATGGTAATTCCTGTGTAGCGAAGAAACCATATTTTAAATCAGTTAATTTATAATATTTATGCTCTGTAAATTTACATTGAGCACTGTTTTTGTAAAAATTAAAAATATCAATAAGAACACCGGATTATATATCTTACTGTTCTTTCTTTTTTATTATAACACACACACACACACACACACACACACACACACACACACACACACACACACATATATATATATATATATATATATATATATATATATATATATATATATATATATATAGTAATGATACAATATGGTAATCTGTATAGCAATTTAAAACTTATATGGCGTATTATACAAGTGTGTTGGGGTCTGTAATCATTGAACAAGCGTATAAACGATCTCAAACTTAAGAGGTTTATTATGCAAGTGTGTTTATTATGCAAGCGTGTTTATTATGCACGAATAATTATGTTGTATATATATGTACATTTGTTTGTGTTTGTACATGTGCAATTATTCAAAATATTGTATGCTTGTGTGTGTTGTGCAATGACTGAGAATCTCTCATAATCGTTCTTTACCACCCAATATGGGTCAATAACAGGACAAACTGTGTCCTATAGCCCTGGATGGGCAACCGGTCGAGGAGACAGAAAAACAGCCTGGATGGGGTCGGGCTACATTAGGCTATCTTTCCCAGGAAACACTATCACAGCGGCAATAGATGCGGCATCCCTACGAACCTTAAAGTGTTTCCTGATTGTGATAATAATGGTTCTTTTAATTAGTTTTATTTTTGTCTTGATTTTAAATTATTCTTAAATTTTAAAAATAAAACGGAGGAGGAAAAAAAAGCCATTCTTAATTTTCGGACGAGGATCCTTTTACCGCGATTCATTTTTCTGGTCATTTCTTTCAATCTTTCAGCTTAGCGAGAAGCTCAAGGTTGGTTTCTATTAATTAGTAGGCGTGCGTCGTGACGAACAGTCGAATGAAGTTGTGAAAGGTTGAGAAGTCATGAAGGCTGATTGAAAGGAAAAGCAACAGAACGGAAAGACATCGAAGGAAAAAGAAAATGAGAATAACATTATAGGAGACCAGAGCCAATGGCGAAATTCTCTTCTATGCTGAAAATCCGTTTGCAGAAATTTCGTCCTTCAGCTTTTGATCGGTCAAGTCGACTAAAGCGGCCATATTGAAATAGTAAGAGATATCAACTTGATTCTAAAGTGCACTGTATGCAATAGTGATTTGCTAAGCGTAGCTTAGATGTGACACAAGGCCAAAATTAAGAAGGACCTAGTGATGATCGAACTCACTACTCAGTCGAAACTAATCTAGCGACTCAAGACACCACGTCGATGTGCTCAAATGATTATCTGAGCGTAGTTTAGATGTGGCAGGAGGCCAAAAATATGAAGCAACCATAGAGGATCAAACTCAATACGCAGTGGTAACTTACCTACCGATATAGCCATGTTTACCATTACAGCACATCGACAATATGACGTTGTAAGCGTGGCTTTGATGTTGCACAAGCAAACGGTGGGGATAGAACTCACTGCTCAGTTGTAACTGATTTAGCGAGATAAGCTTGCTAACCATTATACAACGTCGAATTGTCCAGTACAACGTTTGTTAAATCGAGAAAATATCGCCGCTTCCGTATTCGGCATAATAGTATGGGCAAATATCTGCGCTGGAAAATATCCACCATTTACTGGAAGGAAATTGTAAGTAAATGGTATGAACATCAACCAGACACGGTTACAGTGAGAGGACCCGTAATAATTTTGGTAGATCTTTACAATATTACAGACAGAATAATCACTGCTAATCGGGCAGACATCACGATCAAAGACCACAAAAAGAAAATGTGCTTTCTTATTGGCATGGCAGTCTCTGTCAGATTGTAATACATCAATGAAGATCTTCAAAAAAACTGTAAAAACACAAAGATCTTGAATTGCAAAAAGATGGCACATTAGCACATCAATAATGCCAGTTGTACTTGGAGCACTCGGATTGATTGGATAATGTTTCGATAGACTCACTGAAAGGATCCTGTGATCCCATTCCTTAAAGAAATACAAAAGAAATATAATCACAAGTACAGCTCACACATTATGAAGAGCTTTACATACGTAAAATGTCTGTGATCTTAAGTGTAAAAAATCCTGAAGTCATTTCTGTATACAACAGAAAACAATGGAAATAATAATAATAATAAGTATCTTTGAAGATATTCAAAAAACTGTCAGTATCTTTGAAGATATTCAAAAAACTGTCAAAATACAAGAACCTTGAAATAGAAATCTCAAAAATGTGGCATATGGGAACATCAACAATCCCTGTTGTAGTTGGAGCCCTAGGACTGGTTGGGAAAGATTCCAGTAGACTAACTTAAAGGGATTCCTGGAAGTCCATGCCTTAAGGAGATAAAAAAAAAATTCTGACAAGTACAGCCCACACTTTACGAAGGTCTTTATCTACGTAATATTTTTTATTTTTTTTTTTTGTCAGTGGAAAGTGTCATGATGCCATTTCTAAACTTAGGTCCCTGGGCGGGACCCGGAAAGAAATGTGTAAACGCCAGAAATCAAAGAAAATAATAATAATAATAATAATAATAATAATAATAATAAAAGCATATAAAGATCACTGGCATTAAAATAGTTTTACTTAATGATATGTCCCGGAAAGGGATGATATATTTGTTCGAAGTAGCTAAGTGGTTTTGGCTACTGTAACCGGTAGGACTATCTAGCAGGTAGCGGTAATGGACTGATACTCATCGTAGTGGTAGGCAATATGTTTAGGCAATAGTCGTATTTACATCAGTCTGTATTTATGGCTGACACCAGGCAATCATATTACTCTGAGTGGGAAACCAGGTGTATGCATTTTCATTACATCACTTAATAATACAAAAATCGAAATACATATTCGCGAATAATTGTATTTTTTTTGGTGGGGGTGGCGGATTACAATTTAAATACTGTTAGTACTACTGGTAGTCGTCTCGGGGAATAGAAAAGGCAGCGATATTCAGGGAACTTAAAACGATTATTTGGTTACTTATTTTAATGCATTATTTTACTTTTATTGCTACCTGACCCAGCCAATAGTCAAAGCTTTATTTAAACGAATTAGCCGTAAATAATCAACAGTACCGTTTTATAGCCATCTGCCATTTATATTTTTGCCAACTAAGACTGTTTTTACGTTTAAATAAGTATCGAAGCAATCTTTCTAAGTAACGCAGTAAATCGAAATAAGTGTTGCGTCATTCTTCTACATTCGCAACGAATATAGAAAATGGTACCTAAAACCGATGGGACAAATATATCTCGATAATTCTTGGTATCAGGAATTACAGAAAACACACACACAATCTGTATGAGTAGAACTTTCCTAATTGAATTTTCTAATGAATCTTAATTCTTAAATTTATGACTGAAGAGGTTGATGACGTGTACGTCGATTTTAAAATACCCCTGGAAATTCCCCTATCGCATTGTTATATATTTGAGCTTGACAACTTTAAGAAAACATTATAATAACAATCATAAGGATGAATGCTGGTCATTATATAAAGAAGTAAGAGGGTACAAATAGTAAGGTACGAATTGACGAGGTATGATATTTTGCTGAAAGAGACGTTATACACAGGAGAACTTTATCGCCTCCTGTATTTTCCCTTCCTTTCTCTATCTTTTTGTCTTTCTTATTTACGATTCCTTTTTCTCACGAAAAGCAAACGCGGTTAATGATATAGTCATTTCTTAACACAATCGAAACACAATGATCCGCTAGTTAGCAGAGGCAATGGCCGGTCGTAAAGTAAACGCTCACTAACTTCCTAAATAGCCGAGGAACAAGCAGAATTCTAAAATGATGTGTGCATTTTGTGTCTATTCTGTTTGTAAAGGTTGTATTCACTCTTTGGAGAAGGAATCTCATTTGGAGTTTCAGTGCCAAGACGGAACCCTTTTCACAAGCCCTAACTTAAAACACAAAAAATTGATGTAAAATCACAGAACAAAGAAAACTATAATGCAAAACCGCCATTGAAAGGCTCAGATGTGCAAGAAATACAAGAAGCAATCTGATTGGCTGGTACTAAGACCAGCTAGCTAATCTCGAGCCTTGTATTATCGGGACGACAGATCGGCCGGCTTGTATTCGCCATTCGACTTGTCGACCTATATTTCGGCCCTGTCGTCTCCTAATGGTTAATACTTAAAGGCTTCTAGATATGTTCTTTCTCGTATTCAAATCAGTGCAATGCCACATATACGTCATTGCCTTCCTCTTTAATAGTAAAGGTGAAGTTCAATTCGAATAGCTTCTGTCCTAAAACTGCTATTTTGTGAAATAAACTAACAGGATGTTTTCCGGATAACTACAATCTTAATTTGTTATCCATTATCTCTCCTATATAACCTTGTAAAGTGCACTTCTTATCTCCGCTTCTAACGCTCATACCGTAACATCATTTAGTAAAATCTACCACGAGTGGCTCTCGTGGCTTGTGTTGAGTAAATCTTATTAAAGCAAAATGTCGGCAATTCAGAATTTAGAACCATAGAGAACCCAACGAGAAATCATTTCACCATTAATTATACTAACCTACGTCTTGAAATGACATGGCCTTTAAAACTAAAACAAAGAAAAAAAAGGTTGCGGCCATATCACGTTGAATCACCGGTTCTCGTACGATCACCGAAGTTAAGCAACGCCGAGCCTGGTCAATACTTAGATGCCGGCCGCTTGGAAATACCAGGGGCCGTAAACTTGGAATTGTAACGTATAACGGCACGGAATTGGAACTCGAAGAACCAAATTCCTTTTACAGTCGGATTCGTTGTATTTACTTACGCGCAAATATCCTTGGGGAAGGTATGAATTCACTCCTTTTCACCCGAATATGGGTTAAATAGTTGGATGATTAAAAATCTCAAAAAAACATTTGGGGGGTAAGACGCAAAAAATAAATGAATCAAAAAATCTTTAAAAAAAATGCTTTCATTGTAAAACAAGTCATAACAATCTACTCTCGTTGACCATTGAAAGGCGGAACGCATTTGGTACTCTAAACATTTAGCCTTGTACCAGACAAAAACCGTTATTTCTCCTTATATAACCTCATAAACTACGCTTCTTACCCACGTTTCTTGCGCTCAGACAACAGAACATTATCAGTAACGCTTTAGTTATTCAATGTTAAGTTAGTTTATTTTGCTCACGGAGGAAAACATGTCTGTCTACATCTAATCACAAGTGACGTTTACATTCCCAGTTTTCTTCCTCATTGCTCACATGTTCCGTCTATGGGATTCTCAGTATCTTTGCAGATGTGTGTGTGTGTGTGTGTGTGTAACTGAGCCTTGTCAGTGCTATCAATGGCTATAGCAGCACTCTACTCTTTCTACTGTTTGGGTGGTGATATAGTTTTGAAAGAGTGGCGTACCGATAAACTCACACACCCACTTCCCACTGCATCAAGTACCACGGCTTAGCTGCAGTGAGCTATTCCTTGACGGCATTATTTGGTAATGAAAACTAGTGCAGCCATGAGAGAGTTCAGGCTAATTAATTCTTTTAGACACCATGAAAATCATCTGCCGGAATTCATTTTCCGAGTGCTGATAACCGGTACACTATATCATTTACACGAGCGATCTCACTCGTTCTATCTCTCTCTTAATCTTTCACTCGCTCTCGCTATCTATCTATCTATCTATCTATCTATCTATCTATCTATCTATCTCTTCTCCATCTCTCTCTTTATCTCTCCCGTTCTATCTGTCTATCTCTCTATATATATATATATATATATATATATATATATATATATATCTTCATCTTTCTCCATCTATCTCTTTCTGTCTATCTCTATCTATCTATTTTTATCTCTATTTCCGTTATCTCTCTATACCTTTCTCTCTCTGTATGTATATATATATATATATATATATATATATATATATATATATATATATATATCTTTATTTCTCTCTCTATTTATCTATCTCCATCTTTCTATTTATCTCACTCTATCTCCCACTCTTTATCTCTCTATCTGTCGCTCTCTCTATCTATATCTCTGTTTCTCTTCATATCTATCTATCTATCTATCTATCTATCTATCTATCTATCTATCTATCTATCTATCACTTTCTTTCTCTCTCTGTCCCACACGTACACGCGTTCAGACAGCGACGATTCTATCGGTTTAAGTCTCAAAGATGAGTTAATAAAACAGAAAATTCTTGCATAGATCTAATGCGTTTCCGGTTTTTATAATTATTATTTTTTAATTATTTTTTTTTTTAATTTTCAGCTTCTCTCATTTCTTTTCTAATATTCCTTCTCTGTTTCGAGATATTGTCTGTGCATTATCTTTTTTCTAACTTTTCCTATCATATGCTTTAGCTATCTTAACACACTTACTCTAACTCTCGTTTTATCGCACATATTTTTAAAAGAATACAGCCATTAGTTTTCCTTAGCCCGCTCGTACTGCAATAGTCATTCCGGAAAAGGCCCCATAAACGACGCAGGGAGACACTTTAATGAATCTAGATACCAAACGCCTTTCGACAATCAACTATAATTACACATAAGTGGAACGGAGGAAAGGATATAAGCTAAACGGTGTTCAAGAAAGTAGAAGATGGCGATTGACGTTGCATTTAAATTTTTGAAGATTGTAGTTATCAGGTAAGTAATTAAACGGAAGAGAGTTCCACAAGTGGAATGTACGAGAAAAAAAAATCTGTTAGAGTAGAAGTGTTGGTTAATTTTAACAATTTCACCCAGTACATCTTTGTATGTTTATGTTTATGCATATATTTATTTTCCTGTATCTGTTTAGATATTTCTTTTCATCTTCCTATATGTCTACAAGTGGCACACTAAAAAGATTGTAAACAGCTTATAAACATTTCTATCTAAGTAGTAGGTAGAGCAAGTGTCCAGTCGGCCATGCACCTCCATTGTTACACTCCAGCGACGAGTATATTTTGGAGGATATTTGGCAACAGGACAAAAAATGTAGAGGTGTCGATTCATGCCTTTCCCTAGGGTACTAGTCCAATGTAAACATAATCAGATTCGGCTGTAATTTGAACATTCATTGCTGCTTTCGTTTTCAGCGTCGATAATCGATACACTACCCCCCGCGTCTATAGTTATAGCTCTGCGATCAGTCAATTTCATATCGTTTTACGTTCCAGACAACTGTATAAGAGGAATTAGTTATCTGATGAGACAAAAAAAAAGGCGTGGCTAATTTTGTTGATATTTTCATTGTTTATAATATCCTCAGAGAAACGTTAATGATTATTGTTTATTGCCGTCGCTCATATTACAAGGAATTTACAAGACAGAAAATTATTACAACCAAATTAAGTACACTTACATTGCGAACAAAATATCGCTAAAAGTTAAAAGATTATCTGAGAAAAAAAAAAAAACTACAGGCCCCAAGAGCTCTAATACACACACACACATATATATATATATATATATATATATATATATATATATATATATATATATATATTGGATGCGATGGATAAATTGTCGTTTAGATTTCGCAAAATTGAAGATACCGTTGACATCTCATTTTAAAAGATATATTTAATAACATTACACAAAAATATCTTGAAATACTAAAGAGTAAATATATTCAATAAAATCGTTATTGGCTTCAAAACCCGGCCTCCAGACGACTTCGAAGTCTCCTGCATCGTTTCTGGACGGTCTCCTTGTTTAAGTTGGTGAATGTTACTATAGTCCTTGCCTTTGGTGTTACAAGAAGTTTTGTTGGTCTCTCGCTCAACTGCGCCCCACACATAATAATCAATGGGGTGATGCCTGGGGATTTAAGTTGCCACATGTAATAGGTGATGTGTCCGCAGAAATTATCTAACAGCCATGACTAGTTCCCCTGCTTGTGTGGCATGGTGCAGAATCCTGTTGCAAGATCTTCCAGCAGCCACCATCTTGACCCAGAGCAGCACCACCTCCACCAAGGCTTACGTGTTGGGTCTGAGGCATTGTGGAAAGAAGATGGAGGTACAAGGTCGCCATCATTAGTGATCATTCCAAACACCTTCGTAATCACTATTAGACTCATTTAACTCTTTCCACATATTTTGTAATGTCTCCAGACCAACAAACACTCTAAACTTTTCGTATTGGAGCTTCCGGTGCGAAAGACAAGCAGTCCAGCATGCTGTTTCCAAATTTCTGGCGGAGTGAATTGCAACGGGTTCTTTTTCTCACAGACGCTGCCCAACTGACCCTACTATACTGTGCAACCGACAAAATCAAAAACAGGCAACACGCATGCGGTAAATGAAAAATATATAACGCCAACAATGTATCAAGAGGACCGTATATATATATATATATATATATATATATATATATATATGAATTAGTGTTAAAATGTCAACATAAAACAAATTCAAATTTTCATAATATAGGTGTAAATTAATTAGCTAATATATTACCAAAATATTCACTCCCCTCTAAATCTTCAAATGTCGAAAGTATAACTAATTCTAATTTCTATAAACCCCTCTATAACCTCTTTACACTATATTAATTTTAATTTATAAACTTTCCCCTACTTTAATCTCTCCAACTCTCTTTCCATTAATCCTTTACATCCTTTTATCTATTTATTTTAAAGTTATTTTTAAAACCCTTTTTATTCCTCTTTTAATTTTAAATTAATATTTCATTCTTCATATAACCACAAATTAATGGCATAAAGTTAATATTCGGGTTTAATTTTATAAAACGTCTTCCCTTTAAGACAAATACCTTCTAACCTCCCCTGACTCCTGTCTCGTGCTTTCCGTCTGACTGAAACATTGAAATGGGTAAATTCTGTATTAGTTTCTCGACTGGGTTTTTTTTTTTTTTTTTTAGCTTTCACAGTTAAATTTCTATTTCTGACACGAACTGACACCGGGGTTGATAAGACAGAGGACCGATATCTTCATCTGCCGAAATAGGCTATTCTCCATATGAGGTGATTTGGGATTTTATTGTTTATTAATTATTTGCTCTGTAATAATAAATACATTGGGCTCTTTTTGTGGATCAGTTTTAATATTTTATATTATTAGAATCCACTTGGATTATATATACCAATATATTTTTTACCCTTTACTATATATATATATATATATATATATATATATATATATATGCCCAAGTATAGGATAGATGCAGATGGAATAAATTCAAATAACCAAAAATACTATCCTTAAAAAAAAGAGTGCTCAATACAAAGTAGACCACATATCAAGTGATGGTGTTTCAACACCATCACTTGATAAGACACCAAAGTGTTGACACAAAATGGCTATTTTTGTAGTGATATTATAACATGTTTATGTTATAATTTTGGATTAAATAATTATATATATATATATATATATATATATATATATATATATATATATATATATATATATATATAAAGTGAACATAGAAGTCAACACTTGAAGGCGACAGTCTGTCTCATGCTAGACGCAATCGCCATGCTAGACGCAATCGTGGCCTGACGATTGCGTCTAGCATGAAACAACCACCTCTGAGTGTTGACTTCAATGTTCACTTTTATATTTACACACGCTCTATCTCTGATATTGAGCACTTTATCCCATAAATATAGCACATCTTAAGCTTATATTTCTTCACACACACACACACACACACACACATATATATATATATATATATATATATATATATATATATATATATATATATATAAAAAACAAAAACAATCAAACAGACAGACATACACTCTCTTCAGTTTGAATATTGGATGTGATAAAAGGTAATTTTATTTATAGTTACTACTTATCTTCAAAGATACCAACGTATTTCGTCTGATAATGTTTTGTCTTACTTTCATTCTAATCTGAGGAAGCCAACTGTTTAGAATTTTCTATTTTCTTTCATTATGTTCAGATAATTCCTTCCATAAATATGCATGTAAAACCGAATGCAAACAAAGGAAAACGAAACAGCCCTTGCTAAGAGAATAGCATTAAAAAAAAAAAAAAAACAACTTCTTATGTAGGCATTGTGTCCCTTCAGGACCTGGACGATCATGGCTCTCCACAATTCTTATCCTTTTTGACTCTGAGCTATGTTTCTTTTGTTACTACCACTGCTAATCTTTTCTTCTGCCATTTATTTACAGAAGGTTAGGAGGGTTACCCCTTGCTTCCCTCTGGCCGTCTTTTCTACAGTGAGTCTTCTGTGCGTCAAATACTCCAAGCCGTGTTTTCATTATGTGTTCCAGAAATTGCAATAGGTCTTTTGTGAGTCTAATTAAAAGTCTCCTTTTTCTTTCCATATTCTTTAAAACTTGCCTCATTTTTTACATGGCTCTCCGTGATATTCTCAGTATCCTCCTGTAGAACCAAATCTCTGTTGCGTCAAGTCACCTCATTAGCCGAGAGAAAATCTTCCGGCATTCAATCACGTATTGGAAGATTAATATTCAGTAAAAAACTTTTGAATATCCTCAAGTGATATAAGTTATTTTATTTGGTACGCGCCTCTTTTTTTTTTTTTTTTTGTAGAGCCGATCGAGAAGGCTTGGAGACGAATGGTCCTCACTAACAGATACCTAATTAGCCATTAACAATAGATTTTTTTGAAAAAGAAAGGAAAACAAGAAAGAGAGAGAGAGAAGGAAAGCGAGAGAAAATGGAAAGAAAAAGCTCATTTAATCTATAGCATTAGAAAGAGACAGATGAAATTTATAAGGCAGATAATGAGAAAAGAAGGCTTAGAAAATTTGAAACTCACATGACTTAATGAAGGCACAAGGAGCAGAGGAAACCTGCACATTCCCCGCCTAACGAGCTTGCGAAAATCGTTGACAGAAGAGGGATTAGGAGAGATAGAAAACAGACAAATGTTACTAAGAGCTACAAAAGACAGGAAGTTGTGGAGAACAATAATCAACTACGCCGTAAAGGGACACGAACCATAGAAGAAGAAGATAATCATTGATGCGGAGAGAAAGAGTGAAGGAAATAGAGTGATTGAGAATGAGAGGTAAAGATAAAATTTAGTGAGAAAATTAAAGGATTGCAAGAACCATTGAGAGAATTCAACAAAAATGGAGATTTTCTAAGCGTATTTTAGATATGGCACAAGGCCAAGAGTATGATGCACCAACTGAAGATCATCAATCCCACTACTCGGTCGTTATTGATCTAGTAAAAGAAGCGTGGTAACCATTATACCATGTCGAAGTGCCCGAAATGAAAGGGGGTGAATAAGTGAAAAAAATATTAGGGCAATATAAAAAGCGGGTCGACCATTGCAAGATAAAGGGAGAGAGAGAATCATGAATAGAGTGAGTGAGAGAGATAGAGAGAGATGTAATGGAGTGAATAAGTGAGAAAATAATAGAGCAATATAAAAAGAGGGGCGACCATTGCAAGATAGAGGGAGAGAGAAAATCACATAGTGAATGAGAGAGATAAATAACTAGAGAGAGAGAGAGAGAGAGAGGTAAATGAAATGGAGTGAATAAGTGAGAAAATAATAGGGCCATTTAAGAAGAGTGGCAACCATTGCAAGATAGAGGGAGAGAGCTTCACGATCATAGTGAGAAAGAGAGAGAGTGCGAGAGAGAGAGGAATGAAATGGACTGAATAAGTGAGAAAATAGGGCAATTCAAATAAAGTGGCAACCATTGAAAAGCGGGGAGAGAGAATCAAGAACATAGTGACTGAGAGCGAGTGAGAGAGAGAGAGGGGGGAGTGACAGAAATGAAATGGACTGAAAAAATAAAATGCGATTGTGTAAAGAGCGTGACAAACATGGGAAAAGACAGAAAGAGGGAGAGAGAGAGAAGTGAAAGAGTAAAGATCAGGGTGATTTAGAGAGTGACAGAAAGCTACCGTAATGGAGTGAAAAAGTGAGAAAATTGGACAATTTAAAGAAATGGGGAACACTTGACAGAGAAGAGGGAAAGATTCTAAAATAGAGTGATCAAGAGAGTGGGAGAGAGAGAGAGGGGGAGAGATGGAATAAAAATAGATAATGTGTGTGACAGAAATGAATTGGAGTGAAGAAAAAGCGGCGAGAAAATGAGTCAGTTTAAGAAAGAGTGAGAATCAATAACGAGATAGACAGTCGAAGATGAGCCAAGAAAAAACTGATTGAGAGAAAAACTAATTACTAAACGTTGTATTCCCCACAAAATCGAACATGGAAACGTGATCTGATTGTGTTAATTTTATGGAGTCAGGCTGAATGTATTTCAGAGATTCTTCTAGTCGAGAAGTTTATGCAGAGTTATCTTCCGCGGGGTATGAATGGCATCCTTCGACAAAACTTCAGGGAGTAACTAACGAGTGTATAGACACGGCTCCGGAAAACACCCGACCAATTAAATCTTGATTTAATTATACTAAGCGCCCCGAACTTTCAAGATATGGGCGATCATACTTCTCCACAGCTTTCTATTCTTTGTTGCATAAAGCAAATACTTATATACAATAGTTTTTTTATTATTATTATTATTATTATTATTATTATTATTATTATTATTATTATTTCTGTTCCTTATTCCTCGTTTCAGAACATCAGCTTTGTCGGTAGGTAACAATCTATTTATGTTTCTCTTTTTTTATACTATTGTCCAACCAGTATAAAAGACAAGAGCCTCTCAAAATAGAGCTTTTTTTTAAGCAATTCACCCCAAGCAAGGCAGAAGTGCCACTAACACACAGGGGTTTACAGAGGATTGAAAAAAAAATGTAAAGAGGCATGTTTGAGGAAATGATACAGAGTAGGACTGGGAACAAGATCAAAGTATCAGAAGATGTCGATTGACATTACACTTGAATATTTGAAGATTATAGTTACCAGACAAGGAAGCAAGAGGAAGCGAATTGGACAGACAGGGAGTGCGATAGAAGAAGCTGTTTGAGGAGAAGAGACAGTTATATTTAACCGTTTCGACAATGAAAGGGCGGGATCGAGATGCCAGCCTAGCAGCTCGCTTAAATTCATAATGATGTTGCTGTAAGGGCGTAAAGCTAGGGTTTAAATGCATGTTATGAGGATATGTAGGTTCAATAACGGTTGACTCTAGATTTGAAGCAGTTAAGATTTGGGCGGTCGATGAAGCACCCACTCGGAAGATTGTTCCTCAAAATGACAGTTTTCAGGAAGAAGCTATCTCGGTGAAAATTCCTTCTTACCAGGTGATTACGAAAGGATTCAGAATGAGTTGACACCGGTTATGTGGAAATATGGGCCCGAGCTTTGCATATTTGAACTGGGGGAACTAAGGAATGTAGGTCGTCTGAACATTTGCCATGGAGATAGCGACCCGCGTACCGAGACGCTAGCAACGTTTCATCCGTGGGATTGTTGTAAGTGTTAATTTATCCAAGCTTTCTTTCACTATTATTTGTCTCGAAAACTTCAGCTGCCTTTTTATTCTGATCGTTAGTAATACTTTATATATAATGGCCAGCTATTGCGGCTAGACAATTGCTTTAGTAGACATCTGCTCAGACACATTTGTGATTGCTCAACACCCACAGAGGCTAGCCTTGGTTTATACTGCAACTATGCTGAGCGGATCTTTGTCACATCTTCTAGGAGAGAGCCTATGATTTGTCAATGTCAGTAGTTTGAGCAATGCCAATACGCTCGAACTTTCGGTCACAATGACTCGGTCGTTATTGATCTAGTGAAAGAAGCGTGTTAACCATTACACCACGCCGAAGTGACCGAAATGAAAGGGGGTGAATAAGTGAAAAAATAATAGGGCAATATAAAAAGAGGGGCGATCATTGCAAGATAGAAGAAGAGAGAGAATCACAAATAGAGTGACTGAGAGAGAGAGAGAGAGAGAGAGAGAGAGAGAGAGAAATGGACGGAATAAGTGAGAAAATGGGAGAGAGCCCATGCTCAGTCATGATCAATAGTTTGAGCAATGCCAGTACGTTCAAACTCTCGGTCACAATGACTTATGTCTTTGGGCTATCACAATAATCGGCTGATGTCGAACCGTTCTCAATATCAAATTTCACTGACAAGACTTGGGTTGACCAATGGTTTTTCGTCACTTACCAAAGGTTCTGCATGCTGGAACCGCTTCCTAAAACCATTTATATCAAGAAGTCAGCTTTTCGACCCCTGGGATTCTCAGAATTAGTCTGTAGAATCATATATCGGTCGCTTCGATCTTTTTCTTCATTTATGATAGATTTGTTCTACATTCTCTGCCACGTAAGTAGAACTAACATAGAAGTCGGTTACTCGCCGTTTTCGTCTGCCTTTCTAATAAAAATGCCAACATGATGTATCTTTTTTTAAATCGGTATCACACCAAGCAAGACGGTGAAGCCACTAAAACGCAAGGGGTTACAGGGTGTGGAAGAATTAGGAACAGAAACATTATTGGGCAGGTAAAAGAAAAGAGTAATCAGGAACACAGCAGATAGCGATTGACATTGAATTTCCGTATTTGCAGATTAAAATTGATTGTTAAGCATGGAGCCGGAAAGGAGTTCCACAAGCGAGAAAAATAACTGTTAGCATAAAATGTACGGTTATATCTAGCTAGCTCAATAGTAAAATAGTTACACTTATGCCATACGTGATACACGCTTAGGCGATCATGTATCTTTCGATACATGACTGGCGAGGCAGATTTTTTCCCGCAGTAGATTGCCATTTCTTTTTTCGGTAGACCAGTTGCCATTTCAAGGCTAAAGAACTCGGCTTGTCCTGCTATAGATAAATCAGGCAGTAAGTTATGTACCATGCGTGGTACACACTAAGGCGATCATTTATCTTTCTATAAATGACTGGCGAGGCAGATTTTTCCCGAAGTAGGTTACCAATTTCTTTTTGCGGTAGACCAGTTGCCATCCAAGGCTAGAGAACTCGGCCTGTCCTGCTATAGATAAATCAGTCAGTTAGTTATGTACCATGCGTGTTACACGCTAAGGCGATCATGTATCTTTCGATACATGACTGGCGAGGCAGATTTTTTTTCCCTCAGTAGGTTGCTATTTCTTTTAGCAGTAGACCAGTTACCATCCACTCTGTCCTGCTACTTACAGGGGGTAGAAGAAGAGGATTCATACCATTCCCTAGGGTAATAGTACGTAAGTGAATGCAATGGATTCGACTAGAATTCGAACTCGGCTCTCCGATTCCTTAATCCGAGCCGTTATCCACTCCACCGTAGCTTAAATTCATCGAATGAGCGATATTTATTTGTAAAAAGGCAAACATGTGGCCCAAAATGGGGAATGGGGAAAAAGGACGGTCTTGTTCTGTCTTAACATTAAACTTTGCTAACCACAATCACTGACCCAAGCATAACACAATATTCTTACTTACTATTCTTACTACAGCCACCAAAATACCTCAGAATCTCCATGAAGTCATAACTAGTCCCCATATGTATAATTCTTGTCTGGGGGTGGGAGGAATAAAACAACAATTTAAAATCTAAACCCTAATGTGTACCATATCGAATAACCCATCCGAACAATTACCATGAAAGAACTTATAAAAAAAAAAAAAAAAAAAAAAAACGAATCTTTAAAAACAAAACATTACAAATGATGTCTTATTCTCTGTATCCAGCAGAGACCTCTCATTTCAAAACACGGACTGCGTAAGGCTTAATTGTCAGGGGCAAATATTGTTCTTTTATTTCAATGCGCATGTGCGTGACCGATACAGTGTTGCCTTCCTCTATGATTGACAATCACACAGAGTTGGCATCTATGTCTTTCTTGAGATCTCTGCAGTCTAAATATAAACGGTACCTTTATCAGCCATCAGTCAGCTCTAATTAGCTACTCGGTTTACAAGATACCGTTGCCGACCACAATACTTTATCTTGTAAGATAAAAAACAGTGAAAAGAAAAAAAGAAGTTAAGGATAGAGAAGCTAAAGGAATCGAGAATGACTAAAGTGCTTGAGAACGAAGGCGAATTAAACGAAAAGAAAGAAAGAAAGAAAACGAGTAAAGAAGAAAGAACGAAGAAAAGAAGAGAATTAAGCGAAATTGAATTGACAAAAAAATAATAAAATTTACAGATAAAAAAGAAACAAAATGTAAAAAGCAGAAAAGAAAGTTAAATGAAACAGGTGGGAAAGGAAATGACAAAAATATAGTAAAAGGTAAAAAAAAGAAACAAAAAAGAAAAAATACGAAAAAAGGAAGAAAATACAAACGAATTGAAACAAAATCTAATTAAAAAAATGTAAGAATTTCTTTTTTTTAAAATACAAATAAAGAAACAAAAAAGAAAAAGAGGTTCGCTTACCGTCCAGTTCAAAAACCTCTGAATGGTTTTGAACCGGTGTAGAGGTTTATCCCTTGCTTCCTATTTAGCACTGTGTGCCCGGTTCCTTCTAAAACCTAAAGAAGGAAAGAAATAGACCAAGTGTAAGCATAGATAAATCGAGAAAAAATAGGATAAAAAAAGAGAAGACGATGAAAGAAAAAGAGAGCTAAACTAAATGAAAAAAAGGGGAAGAAAAATAAAGGAAGTAAAGATGGCAGTTGGAAAGTACTGAACGCCATGCAGAGAAGGTAGAAATAAAATAAATGAGAGAGAGAGAAAGAGAGAGAGAGAGAGGAAAGCAATGTGAATTAAAAGGTGTTGAAAAAAAGACAAAAGAGTGAGTAATCAAAAAAATAAATACAATACAAATAAGGGACAGATTGAAAAAGAGAGGTTGGAAATATATATATATATATATATATATATATATATATATATATATATATATAAAGAGAGAGAGAGAGAGAGAGAATTAAAGATCCGATAACGATAGAGATAATGAAAGAGAGATAGCGATTGAAAGAGAGAGAGAATGAAATAAGCGTTGATTTGGGCAATAATCATGAAAGTGCAATAAATCAATCAAAAAATAGGTTGGGTTATTGAATGCAGATCGATAGCAATCAGAATTATCGAAGTGATTCTCCAACGCCAGAAGATTGATGGGAAAAGAATAAGCAGAAATAGGAAAAAATGATTTGTACAACAACAACAACAACATTAATAATAATAATAAAAACATCCTTCTCTTTCACTGACCTTGTCCTTCAAGACTAAAAATGTCAGAGTTCAGGTTACGTCGTACACTGACCTATGTTGGCGCCTTGGAACTGAATCATCTAAAAAAAAACCGAAGAGATTTAGGCGAATAACTAGACCATTAGGTGAACGATCAAAGAGTTTAGGTTTGTTCTTGGAAGAAATAAAAAAAACCGGAGGTTGGAAGATCACTAAAAAGGAGCCTGACCTCTTCCATCGGTTCGTATGAAAGCAAATATCAGTTATCACAAGATGAAGAAAATTGCAATTATTTGCCTTATGTTTTATGTCGAAATCACTGTTCATAATGTTAAACAAATGATATTGCATGTGTGTGTGTATGTGTGTGTGTGTGTTTGTAGACGAGGAAAGAAAGATGGTTGGTGCGATAAAGAAAAAGAAGCATTTGCTGTGTTAATGAAATTAAACGATGTTTTCTCTAGCCTGTCCCACTGACGATGCTCGTAAAGGATTATTTATTTTAAAGTGAGCGTAAATTGGGGGAGCTTTTGAGAGAACGGAAGACGACTATGTTATAGAGGACAAATAAGAAAAAAGTCACTTTAGAAAAGAGTAAAAAACGAAAAGAAAAAAGAAAAGGCAAGAAAGAAAGAAAGAAAGAAAGAGCGAAAGGCTGAGTGTGAAAAATGTGGAAAAAGAAAGGCAGAAACAAACAAACAAAGAGAGAGTGGGGGGAAAGACAAAAATCGTAGTGAAAGAAAGAAAGAAAGAAAGAAAGAAAGAAAGAAAGAAAGAAAGAAAAACTAAGGAAAAAAGAAAAACTAAGGAAGAAAGAAAAACAAAGAAAGAATGGGTGGGAGGAGGAAAGACAATAAAGTGTGATGAAAGGAAGAAAGAGTAGGAGGGAAAGAAAAAAGGCCAAGAAAAAACAAAGAGTGGGAAGAAAGACAAAATGGCGCGGAAAGAAAAGAAAAATAACAAACAATGATAGAGTATGAGAAAAAACAAACAGTCGTGAAGAAAGAAAGAAAGAAAGAAAGAAAGAAAGAAAGAAAGAAAGAAAAAAGAAAGAAAGAAATAATGACTCGAAGGAAAAACAAGATGCGTGAAAAAGAAAGAAAAAACAAACAAAGATAGAGTGAGAGGAGAGGCAAAAATCAGTGAAAAAGAAAGAAAGAGTGGGTGAAAAGACAAAAAGACGCGGTGAAAGAAAGAAAGAAAGAAAGAAAGAAAGAAAGAAAGAAAGAAACTAAGAATGAAAGAAAGAAAGAGTGGAATGAAAGACAAAAAAGTGTGGTGAAAGAAAGATATAAGAAAGAAAAAGAAAGTAAGAAGGGAAGAGTGAGAGGAGAGATAAAAAGCGTGATGAAGAAAGAAAGAAAGAAAGAAAGAAAGAAAGAAAGCGTGAGAGCGTGGGGAAGAAAAAAGAAAGAAAGAAAAAATAAAGAAAGTAAGAAACAAACACAATGGCGGGGATAAAGAAAACGTGCAGATATAAATAAATAAATAAATAGACAAACAAACAAACAAAGCGTGGGCGGAAATACAAAAAAGTGTGAAAATTTAAAGAAAGAAGGAAAAGAAAGCGGGACATACAATACCCAAATGTTCGGCGAAAGAAAAAATTGATTGAAAATGACATTTATTTCCTGGTTGAGTGATTTTCAGAGATGTGTGAAATGTCCGCCGAGACTTAATAAAAACTGGGTGACTTGACATATTAACAGATTGAATACGCCGCTGAAAATTACTACATTTATATATATATATATATATATATATATGTCGAAATAAAAAGAAAGAACAGTCAGATTTATAATCCAGAGATCTTTTATATTTATTTTTAAAAGCAGTGCTCGATGTACAATAGAGTATAGTATTATAATTATTTAAAAAACAAAAATGTTTTCTTCTCGACACAGAAATTATCATGTTTCGAAACCAAATCCTAAATCTTAAATTAAACTTAAAATTAAATTAAACTTAAATTTTAATTTAATATTTAGATTTTGGTTTCGAAACATACTATTTTCTGTGTCGTGATGAATACATATTTTTTTTTTTTTTAAAATAATTATCATATATATATATATATATATATATATATATATATATATATATATATATATATATGTCTGTGTGAAGAAAGCCGAGCGTACAACAGCCGAAACGTTGCAATAAATATGGCGACAAAGATGAGGACAATAGTCCGAATAATGGAAATAATGTATATAAATGATCCATCTCTTGGTATCAAGGACACTTGCCTGAAACAACACAAAACAAAAGAACGCTCCTTAAAAATAAAAAAAAACTGATCAACTAATTTTTATTTATTTACTTTTTTTTTTTACAAAACAGCTGTCATAGTTTTGTCGAAATTACAATACATCTACGTAAGTGCACAAATATTTCCTCAGACCACTACTGAAAAACCTATTTATTTCACACAAAAAATATGTTTTGCAACATTATATACTCCTTTATACATAATCCTGTCGTAAATCGAAAATAGGCAGACAGAAATTTATATAGTGAAAAACTAAGCAAACAGCCTATTTTTGGTTTTTATAGCTTATCAACCCTTTATAGTTTATTTAAAGTCAAAATATATTTTTAGAATGTCAGAAAGTTTTGTGGAGATAATAATGGTTTAGTGATACAATTCTTACTAATTAACCCAAGAATTGGGTTAATTAGTAAGAATTAATTAATTAATATGCATATTGATTTATCAAATAATTCTATACGTTTAAATTATTTACCAGTTTCTTAAAGAAGCTATTTATTTATCAACTATAAAAATTGTATGTAAGAAATTCACAAAGCATAGGAAATATCATTGTCTAGTTTGTATAATTTATGTAACCATTTGCATCCGCTTTAGTTTATGTCTGGCCGCCGTTAGCTACCAATCTACAGGTCATGGCCGATTTATAAAAAATAATTTTTAATTTTTTCTTCGCTTAGTTTAAATTTGACGTATGTTATATTTGATTGGTTGATCAGAGTAAAGCCTTATAACCCCATTTTTTTATTCGCATCCCATACTTAATACTTCTCGTTTTCACTCTCGCTTGGTCATGTGTGACGTCATGAGCTGCTGTGCGATTTTCGTTTCCAGCGTCTCATATGCACAATTTTGTTGTTACTTGTAAATCTTCCATGTAAACAAAAAACAGAGCATCATTATTGTTTTGTCCGTGTATTGTTTAATATATTGTAATGTAATTGTCATCTTTGATAATGGCTTATGTAAGCCGAAAGCTTAGATAGGATTAAAAATTATGTATCAGTATTGTGATTTTATTTCTTCTTTTAATGATAATGTTATTAAGCTTATCAGACGATATGAAAAGAACTTACATAAAATAGACAAAACTTGTCTATATTATTTAATGAAACATGCATCAATATATATATATATATATATATATATATATATATATATATATATATATATATATATATATAAAGCGTGCAGAAGTAAAGATAGAAAGTTGCATGAATGTTGAGAAAGGCGAAGATTATGAGACAGTACGTACTTAGGTCTTTATGGCATGGAAAGAAATTCAAATTTCATATCTTCACGGGCTGTTTTTTTATGATGAGTAGGGAAAGAAAAAAGTTCACAACGGTGGGATGTGGACGCATGCGTTGATTTATTTTTTTGTTTTTTTAGAAATATCCCTCACCTGTCAGCTTTAATATTCTTTTATTATTTTTTTTAACCGTTATCTTCAGGGGAAAATATAACCAAACTCTTGTTCCATGCATTCTGTAAACGTCACAAGTAATATCGCCGCCTTATTACGAATCCCTTTGTCACTGCTAAAAGTGAATTAGAAGGAATATGCACTTATCGTTAAGTAATGTCGTCTCGCAATGCAGTTCACTCAGTTTGGTCATCACTTCTCCCTCTTAATCTATGTGGCGTTTTCCTTAGAAAGTGGGCTATCACGGCTCCCCACAACTTCCTATAATTCACGTGGGCTAATATAACGTGGCATGATTTCATGCATTTTTTTTAATATCGGGCTAATATTGCAAATGGACACCGTTTTCCTGTTGCGCAGAACAATACAATTTTCATACAGTCTACGCATATCCCTATTCCCATTATACTGTGAAAATTTCGTTAAATTCCGACTGGGAGTTTTTGAACAAAATTAAAAAGATGTCACGTCGATAATAATTTGAAACGCAGTGTATTTCACATGATTAAAATTTCTAACCCATAATCACTTTGATTTAAACGGCGTGTTGCATTGTGGAATCTTTTTGGAATATTTGCAATATTGACTGTTGTAGGGTAGAAAAAAACTGTCCTTGAGAAAAAATTTTATCATTATCGAAGATTCACTGACCGTCTTTGTTGTTGTTTTTAGAGATGATTTGTTTGAAGTAGTCGACATACGATCCTCAGTGAAGTTTCACTGACCATCCAAGCTGTTGTTGCTGTAGAATTTTTTTTTTTTAGCACGCGCTGGGGGATTCTGCTCTTAAAGTTGTAACCTGTGTTGTTTTATAAGAATGCTTTTCCCAAAAGTATTCCCGAGAAAAATATGGTTTATTTTGTTTTGTTTTTTTTCTGGTTGGGCAACCAATTCAGATGGCCATGTTAATTTCCAACCAATAGTCACTTTGATTTAATTGGTATGTGTTGCATTGTAGAATCTTTTTGGCATATTTGTAATATTGACTTTTCTAAGGTAGATAATAAAGTTTGGGCGCCTGTTTAATATGGTGTGTATATGGGTATGGAATTGTGTTGAGAACAGCGTTTCTTTTCTATTGATGCATAATAGCGAAATACGTCTTAGTAAGTTTTTTCAATGAAATCGGTTTCTGTAGTCCACTAGCTGTTATCGCGCTTTCTAGAATTGAGGAGGGATTTCCTTCCTAACTTTTTGTTTAATGTACAATGCAATGTTAATATCCATTGTCATCATGCTTTTGGTTATATGGGCTTTGTTATTTGGTACAGTTCTTTATTTGTCATTATGCATCGCCATTTTGTAAGGTTCAATTAATTACAGTTGTCCCAAAGATCCACTGCTTAGATTCGATTGGAGTCATTTGTATTCTTTAATTTGAGTATTATAATGTATGAAGACATAAAATAATGTCCTTAGAAAAAGTGCGTCTTTTAATATGCTATTTATGTGGGTATGTAATTGTGTTTGGACTAGCGTTTCTTTTCTATAGATGCATAATATTAGCGAAATATGTTTTAGCGAAATATTAAGACATAGGGGAATGTCCTAGGAAAAAGTGTCAAAACGTTTCGAATCAGATCATCAACCGTTTCCATGCAGGCAATATTCGACATTCATTGACTAATATTTAGTATTACGAAATTATATTGACAAATATAACTTCAAGTATATTGAGAAGTGCTTTACAGTTAATAAAATATGATATTTTAGCATTGCTTCCTAGAATAATCGAGAACTTACACCACCGCCTGCGTACGAATAGAAAATGAATTAAGTATACAAAAATCAAGAAAGGGCGTCCGAAAATGGCTTCATTCAACATTTAGAGCGGGGCGATCCTGAGAGAATAAGAAGCTCTAAGAGGATTCATTACTGTCGGAAACAATCTTACCGACATACGACATGGAGATGACAGTGTACATTATTCATAGAAAACACAGAAAGGGAACTAGAGCAAAACGTAGAGAAGTTAATCAAGGAAAGTGAGAAGAAAGGTCTAAGCATGATCTGTACGAAGACAGAATGTACGATTGTCAGCCACAAGAACAGCTCAGGATGAGGACTACGAATTGGAAACACCAAAATCTACCAAGTACATAAGTTTAAATATCAAGGAAGTGTTTTAACAAAAAAACGTGAAATGCAACAACGAAATCAGAACGGATATAGGGACAGCGAAAGGTGTCTCCCAAAAGCTAAGCTAAGTATTAAGAAAAGTTCGTTAGAAACCAATAAGAGATTGGTGAACTGCTATGCACTATTGCACCGATAGTGTATAAAATTCCTGCATGATATTAAATGCTAGACACTTTTAGTCAGAGATGAAGAAGATATTTGAAGCAAAATTCAGACGATTAAAAGATAGCAGTTTGATTTTAGAAGGTGTTAAAATTAACAAGCCGTTCGTTGCCCCAGTTAACAATACATTCTAGATTATGTTTCAGATCAGCTGCCAATTTCACCTTATCAAATTGATTAAACGTCTAATTAAGACAAGAATAAATAATTGCGTTATCGACATAGATACCGACTTGAGAACTGAAGGCATCAGGAAGTTGCGTTGCTTTGTTTTAACTTCCATTATATATATATATGTATGTGTGTGTATGCGTGTATGTGTGTGTGCGCGTGTGTGTGTGTGTGTTTGTGTGTGTGTGCGCGCGCGCGCGTGTAATTGTACTTAAAATAGTGTGTCTATTTATTTTACTTTAGTTTTAATCCTTCCAATTTCACGAATTAATTTCTTGATGGCTTTAGAATATTGATTAAGAAAAATTCAAAAATTTTCTTTCAAATACTCAAGGGCTTGCATATCTATGCATATGTTATGCGTTCACATCGCAAATTCAAAATATTTTTTTACCTCTATGCAAGG